TTTTTTTTGTTTATTTTTTTTTTTTGTGGGGGGGGGGGGGGGGGGTGTCGAAAGACAGTAATTTCTTATAATAATTTCTATTTAACACTACTTTTACCAAAGAGTTAAATGGACATCTTTGAATAATTTTTGCTAAAAATTATTTTATGTTCTCTATGTAATCGCTTCTCTAAGATTAATTCGGTAAATTGTATCGGTAAAAATAGGGTTAAATCGTAGCATTAAAGTACATAATAATTTCCAAAAGTAATCGCTATGAAAATTATTTCCTACTTTCTATATTTTTTATGCGACTCACTCCTCTCGATCATCGCAAGATTAATTCGCTGAATTCCATAATATAAAATATCGGTAAAAATAGTGTCGAACTATTAAATCAACCCCTTGTAGTATAATAACGTGTCGGACATGAAAGTTTTCACACATAATCTACTAAATGAGCGGTTTATTTTGAAAGCGCCCCAAGTCTATTTTCCAAAAACATCGAGCTAGCTGTTTCGATATTTGCATTTCTATGTCATGCATAATTTCGTCTCAGCGAAGCCCCTAGAACACAAACAACCCTTGGGAATACAAAAACATTATGCTACCATGTGTTATCAGTTACCAATATTTCTAAATTTATTAAAACGCAAAATCCTCAAATATCTGTTCTTTTCCTTTTTTTAAATAAACGGACTTAGGCCATTTTCGAAATAAACACAGCCCGGAAATGAATATTATTTATGACTTCAAAATCGAAACGAAGAAAAATGATCTCGTTCCATTAGAGCAATTATTAAAAACAAAGAGAAATTCTAATCGACACAGTTGTAATAACAATATCAAAAAATAAACGCTATATACAGGTTGTCCCAAAATTATTGTACAAACGAGAAATGAGAGGTTCCTGAGGTAATTTGAAGCAACTTTTTCCTTAGCGAAAATGCAATCCGCGGCTTCGTTTACGAGTTATTAACGAAAAACGCTGACCAATGAGAGGCGAGAGCTCGCCTAACGCTAGACGGCCGAGCCAATCGGCGGAACTGGGCCTCGTCCGAGCTCGCCTCTCATTGGCCAACGTTTTTCGTTAATAACTCGTAAACGAAGCCTCGGATTGCATTTTCGCAAAGGAAAAAGTTTCTCCAAATCACCTCAGGAACCTCCCATTTCCCTTCTGTATAATAATTTTAGGACATGAAGAATTGAATGCGCGATAACTAGGCTTATGAATTCGAATGTTGCAGCATTCGTGAAATTTTGCGCGACAATGGAAATCAATGCTGCAGCATTCACGCCCGCGAACGTGTTAAGCGACGGAAAGCTAATTCCCGGACCACTGTTCGTCTTCGCGTCCACAACGCCCCGGTCTTCTCTCGAATAGTCGCGATGTGCATCGTTTCGATCGTTTAGGTGATAAAGGATTACCAGTTATTTATGCTTGTCGGCATATTGCTGGTCATCGATCTGGGGATTATGACGACGTGGCAGGTCGCGGACCCGTTTTACAGGGAGACCAAACAAATGGAGCCCTACGTACGTACCGATCGACGATCCGCCGCGAATCGACCCGCGATCCGTTCGGTTCGCCGAGAATGAACGCCCACCTGGTCCTTTTCTTGCAGCCTCATCCCTCCAGCGAGGACATAATCATAATACCGGAAAACGAGTACTGCCAGAGCAACCGGATGACCTTTTACCTAGGGGGCATATACGCGTACAAGGGTCTCTTAATGGTGCGTAATAATAGTGATTAAGCTTCGGACTTCCACGCACCCTGTCCACGCTTCCTGCTTTGCCGAGGACACGTTCGTCAGCCTACTCGAACCTTTCTAAAAACGATCCGTCGATCCACGCGAACAGATGTACCGGCCGTTGTTTAACATAGTCGCGATCGGGTCGGTTCATTGTTTTCGCGGCGCTTTTAATTTCGATTATATCCAACGAGCAACAATTGCCGTGATTGTTTAATTTATTCGTTACGCGCGAGCAACAAAGCGATGAATTTTTCGTAAAACGCGGGAGCAATTTTCTCGACGAACGATTAAATCGTAAATGTTTGATCTCGTTAACTCTCGACGGGTATGCGGCTTTCGAAAAGTTCATTATTTTGTTGTGGATTTAATCGTTAAGTTCGTTCTTGTTAATTCGATGCTGTATCGTTTTCGAAAAGTTGGTCACTTCGTTGGCTCAATTTAATTTGTAAGTTCGTTATTGTTAATTCGATGCTGTATGATGTCAGAGAAGTTGATCGTTCCGTTGCGAATTTAATCGTGATTTCGTTCCTGTTCATTCGATGCTGCATAATTTTCAAAAAATTAATTACTTCGTTACGAATTCAATCGCAAATTCATTCTTGTTAATTCTCTCAATAACTCATAGATTCCAGAAAATCAATCACTTCGTTACGAATTTAATCGTAAATTAGTTCTTGTTAACTCGACTCTCGTTAACTCGAATTTCCAAAAAATTAATCACTTTATCACGAATTTAATCGCAAATTAATTCTTGGTAACTCGATTCCCCACAATTTCCAGAAAATCAATCACTTCGTTACGAATTTAATCGTAAATTGATTCTTGTTAACTCGACTCTTGTTAACTCGAATTTCCAAAAAATTAGTAACTTTATCACGAATTTAATCGTAAATTAATTCTTGTTAACTCGATTCCCCACAATTTCCAAAAAAAATCAATCACTTTATCTCAAATTTAATCGTAAATTAATTCTTGTCAACTCGGTACCCCACAACGTCCAAACAATTAATCACTTTGCCACGAATTTAATCATGAATTTAATGTCGTAAATTGATCACTTTCTTAATCAGAGAAGCTATCGATCGACGTGCGAGACGAAACTATTACGAAATTATCGAACAGGGTAGTGAAATCGAAAACAAACCAGCGCGAACTTATCGAACCGACTGAAAAATCATTTCTCGCGGTGTAAAGACTGATCTAAGCCTGGATCGACATTATGGCATTGCGGAGGATCGGGCGTGGCGTGTCTCGTGCCGTGTAATCGTTTCAAAGTTCCCGTGTTACAGATATTCGGCGCCTTCCTCGCGTGGGAAACGCGACACGTCAGCATCCCCGCGTTGAACGACAGCAAATACGTCGGGATGAGCGTGTACAACGTGGTGATCATGTGCGTAACCGGAGCAGCGATCAGCTTCGTGCTGGCCGACAAGCAGGACGCCATGTTCGTAATGCTGTCGGTGTTTATAATATTCTGTAGCACGGCCACGCTGTGCCTGGTTTTTGTGCCGAAGGTAGACACTATCGTTCGAATTCCGTGCGCGTCGTTCCCGTTCACGCGACACTGTTATGCTTAAGAGGGCCTGTTTCCTATGGCAGCTGATTGAACTGCGAAGAAACCCGCAGGGAGCGATTGACAAACGTATGAGAGCCACCCTAAGGCCGATGTCGAAGACAAGGCGAGACTCGAGCATGAGCGAGTTGGAGGAACGGCTGAAGGAGGCCACCCTGGCCAATCAGAAATTCCGTAAGCAACTTTTGGAAAAAGACAGCCAGCTTCAGGTAAGCGAACCAGAGCCCGCTTCCTTGATAATCGGTTATGTCGGCGAATACAGTCAGTTTTTGAAATGAAAACGAAAAACAGACAGACTCGTGGCATATAAGAATTATTTGTTGGAGCTACGTTTGCGACTAGTTTATAAATAATGGAAGAAGATTTTTGCTCGCCGAAATAGATTTTTGAAATAGTAAATAGACTAATTGTTCATTGTATTCGATGATTATTTAACAAATATTTTGATCTTCTTATGTGATACAGAATTTGGCAAATGAAGTATTTCTTTTGATTAAAATAAATTTCTTTTATTTGAAATAGTATTTACATATGGTGATAGCATTTCAAATAGATTTAACTGCGTAATATCTATATGTAAATACTATTTCAAAAAATAATTCTTTGCCAAATTCTATATTACATGAGAAAATAAAAATATTTATAGTCTATTTGCTCTATTTTAAAAAATTATTTTTCCACAGCCATGTGATAACCATTGGTGATGAAGGAAATTAAATTTCGGTCGCTTATAACAGTTATTTAAAAAAAGAAATTTTGTTTCAATCAGTTGTAACAATTATTGGCGAGGGAAATATATTTTAGTTGCTCCTAACAGTTATAAACAAAGGAAATTAAGAAGAAAATAAAATAAACGTTGGATCAAAATGAATTTATTTTTCTAATAATGTTAGAACCTTGTAGAATTTTCAGTTGCACATAATAATTAGGAGCAACCATAACAGGTTTTCACTATTAATAATTATTATTAACTGAACCCGAAATTCTCTAAAGGACAACTGTTGTAAATCGACTGCAGATTTTACCCATTAGTAAGCAAAAATGAATAAAATAAAACAGGACAGTGAAGACACGAAAAGAATTTACAGATATTTTTGCATTATTGTCTCTGTATCAATGCCACTAAAAAAGAAACTAGCAGTATAATAACCGAATATATATAATATATATAATAACAATATATATAACCGAATTAGAATTAGAAAATTTAATTTCCTTCATCGATAATGATTATTGGCATTTTTTTCCGCATATTATAACTATTATTGTTATTAATAAGACGCTAAATTACCAAGCTAATTAATCAAGACGCTAAAACTCAGAATATAAAATATTTTTCAGCCATAAAATATTTTTTAAATCGTACGCTCTCTATTTTTAATATTATCCAAGCTTATGCATATTATATGTTTGACTGCCAAACAATAACGAAATTAACAAGCAAGCGAGCATACGATTTAAAAAAGCATCGATCGAGCATTATCCTTATAAAATAACCTTAACAATAAACAAGCTCTATAATCATCAACGATATTATTTCCACCCAAGTCTTTCAAATAACTATCACTTTCAGTCCCTGGTTCCATTTCGAATAACACAGGTTGTTGTTTATCAACGACTTCCCTCGTCTAGCCTGTTCGACTGAGAATACTATTTCACGGGACACTGTGCGTTCGACATTCTTTTCGGAAATCGTATCAGCCACGTGGTCCGCGTCCGGTCGAAGTAAACGCGGCTGTCCGGTTGCAGATGTTCCGGAGGCGGCTCGGAGACCAATGCGCGACGAACACGCAAGAGCCGATGGACAGACTGACGGTTCCGCGGCAAGAGGGGACGCTCAAGAAAGAGGGTAGCTAAGACATTAGGCTATAGGAAGCTATGTTGCACGTTGACAATCGATTCTGATCGATACCTTCGCCGCAGGTCTGTCCGTCAATACGGAGACCACGGACATCTCGATGTCCATGTGCAGTCTGAACTCGACCACGATCTCCCAGCCGGAGCCGGACTATGCCAACACCAACGGTCTCGAGCAACAGGCCCCAAAGTGCGTACGGAACACCGAAAAAAATAAATCATTCTACCGTGGCCGCTCGATAAAGCGGAGAATTCGGGGCTCCGGTGCTCGGAGTCGGCTGTCGGGCGGCCGGTCGCGCTAGTCGCTCCGCCTAGAAGTGGGCGGAGCGCGAGTGTGGGCGTTCCCAGCTGACCCAGCTGACTCGCAGCTAAAGCAGTGGAGCCACTTACTGTGGGATATCCAAATACTCTGCCTTATTTCAAGTTCATTTTCAAGCATGATTAACTGTATATTTATCGAACAGGACGCGCTATATTTTTGTGCTTGAATTCGATCGATTATTTACTTGTTAAAATTACGAATATAAAGGGTGGACGTTTTTGAAATATCGTAAAAGATACTCCAATTTTCTGTGAAGCTTATGAAGAAGTTTGAAGATAGTACTGAACGAATATTCAGTAAAATGAATCGTTGGTAATGAATATAAAATAATAAATAAATATAATCGTTAACAAATCGATCATTAATTTGAATCTTCGTTTCTGGTTTCAATTTCGCCAGTTTATTTGCTCTGCACAGTCATTGATCCTATAATACTTCTCCATTAACCTGAGATCTAAAACCATCTGTCATATTTTCAATGAGAAGAAATGTGAATGTGAAATTTAATTAAAGCAGTCATCCACAACGTGAGCTTCCAGATGGCTTATAGCAACATTACATTTCACCCATAGAAAATGAAATCGATTACAAAGTATATTAAACATTAAATATTTATTATTGATCTTCGTAGAACACAGGCACACAGCAACTGGCTCCACGACTGTTTCTCCTTTCCCCTAACATTCGAAGAAGACGTGACGCTAATTTCATGGCAAAATCGAAATCGACAGAAGAAACTCTGAGATTTATCTTTATTTAATCAATTATTATTTATCTTTATCTTCTTTTATCTTTACTCGTCGAAATCGCCGAAGTTCCTTTCAGTGGCGAGAGCAATCAAAGTCCGCAGGACACAGTAACTGGCGCTTCTACCGCATGTTCCTCTTCGCAGGAAGAAGACCTCCTTCTCGAAGCTTCCGGCGATCGCCATCGACACGGAGCGGGTCCCCTTGGTGCCGCAGACGGTGACGACGAAGCAGTCCATCGAAGGCGTCCCGTCGACGGTCCCATCGGCGCTGAAACACACTGTGGATGACACTGAAACGCGCAGGAGAGTTCGGTCGGCCGGTACGGGAAAGGAGAGCGAACCGTTGATCGAGAGGAGCCCGGAGCCTCGCCCGGATGGCAAGACGAACGTGGACTTCGTGCCGGAGATCGTCGAGGAGGGTGACGCGATCATCCTTGAGGAGACCGAGATTCCTAGGCACGGGAAGCCGATCAGGTACCGGGACGATCGCAGGTCCAGGCTGCCCACGCCTCCGCCGACCAAGAACGTCTCCTTCGGCGAGCTCCACGAGCAGAACTACCTGGAGCAGGCGATCCTCCCTCCGCCGATGCAGTTCGTGCCGAAGCACCGGCATTCCGGTGAGTAATACTAATCTACTGGGCCGAGCACCTTTTAACCCCTGCCACTCCAACCCGCGGTAATGCCGGCAAGCGTTCGACGAAATTAGGGTTCGAATGTCATCGATTTTTAGAACTGGATCTACTGTCTTGAACCGTTTTTAAGCGTCGAAGAGACTGGTTCGCAGAATTGTTTTTATTTTGTTTTTGGCGTTTCGAGTGATAGCAAAATGTAAAGGGGATTAGGGCAAAGGTAACTGGAATATAGTAAAAGGTGGGGATTTTTTGCATTGGCAGAAATGGATGAACGAAACACGGAACAGTGAAAACAGAAGAATTTATGAACACTGCAGCATTATATCGATTAAATCATTTGTTGTATTAATTAAATCACTGTAATCACTTGAATCACTCAAAATTATAGTCTGTAATCTAAAGGGTATTTTTTTCAGTTTAATTAATGGTTAATAGTGATAATAATAGTAATATTTTCACTGCCTTAACGTCGTTAGAAGAAGAAATATATTTTCGGCTACCTTTTGTTTCATTTAAGAGATGATGAACTTTCTTATAATTCATTTTCTAAAATATGCAAACAATTAATTTTGTAGAACAGTTTTCTTTCCTTTTTTTTATCGTTTTGATGTAAAATTTTACGCAGTGTACCGAGATGAGTCACCTAAACTTGCAAAATCCAAGAAGGGTAATATGCCTCCGTTCTCGTTAATACTTTACAACACAGAAAATTGTACTCTTACAATATACAAGAGTAAGCGTAATTATTTTTAAAATTATTGTTACTATGTTATCATTTTTATATTCAATTATATATAAAAGACAGCCATTATTACAATTTTATGTATTATGAAATATATTATTAGTAAAATATATATAAAATAATTGAATATTTTTTATAATAATAATATATATGTGTGTGTGTGTCTAACGTTTATAATATATATGATATTATAAACATATTATATATATTATATTATTATCATTATTATTATATTATATATTATTATATATATTATTATATTATTATATATTATATATATTATAAATATATTATCATAAAATATATTATATTTAGTATTTGGAATAATATATTTTATAATATATAAAAACGTAAAAATTGCTATCCTCCCTTATACGACTTATTAATTTAAAAAACAAGTAATTTTGACCCCTCTGATAGAAGAAGCTATACATCAATCGCCAGTAGTTTTATTATTAATACCCGATTCTGCTCTAAAACGTGACTCTAATCGTCGAAGACATTGAATAAGCCCTGGTTCTCTTGCAGCCTCGGCAGCCGCGGTGACCTACCAGTCCCTGAAGAGGAGATCGTCCGTGAAGAACAACGGGATGGCGCATTCGCACCACGAACTGTTCCAAACCCGGCGTACTAGCGTGCCTATCAACTCGATCAGCTACATCTCCACGGAGAACGTTTCCAAGTCGGAGAGAACCGAGATCTCTCTCGGATCGTTCGACAAATCGTACGTGATCGGCGAGTGTGGGCACAGAAGGGCGCTGGTCGCCGGGACGGGTTACCGATGCGAGAAACACGGTGGCGGTCGTGGTCACTCTCATGCGACCCTAAATGGCTCCGCGGAAACGCCTCCGGTGCCAAGGCGGCAGAGGAAGCGTTACGACTCGCAGAACGCAAGCTCGCCGAGTGTTCCTGCGGTCGTTAGCGCGAGCTATTCTGACACAGGTGAGAAGCCGGAAAACGTTCGTTTCTGCGCTCCGTGTTAAAATGGAGTTCAAAAGAAATTATCAGTCGTAAACAAAAACTACACGGAATTTGTTTCCATAGCAATCTAAACGTGTCAACTGCCAAAGCTGAAGACAAAAAAAAATGATAACTTTAACAAAAGAATGACAATGCAAACCGAAATTACTTTCAGATTGTCCACGAAAATGGACAATTTGGGAAGAGGCGTTACGATTATTCGAGCCTTGCGGCTCGTTTTTATAATTGTGCACAATTTATAACTAGAGTGTCCCAAAAATGTCTCGCAATCCGGAAATAGGTTCCTCGGATCATTTGAAACAGCTTCTTCCTTTACAACAATTTTCTGCGAGGCACCGTTAACGAGTTATTAACGAAAAACAGTGACCAATGGAGAAGCGAGTACGGCTGACGCGAGGCGGCCCAGCCAACCAGCGCACGAAGCCCAGTTCCGCTCATTGGCTCGGTCGCCACGCGCCAGCCTAGGTCGCCTCTCATTGGTCACTGTTTTTCGTTAATAACTCGTTAACGGTGCCTCGGAGAACATTTTTGTAAAGGAAAAAGTTGCTTCGAATGACCCGAGGAACCCGCCACTTTCGGATTGCGAGACATTTTTGGGATGCCCTGTATAAAAATAAACGCAAGGCTCGAATAATCGTATCTTCTCTTCCCAAATTGTCCATTTATGTGGTCAATCTGGGCGTCAATTAGAGAGACATTACTGCACAATAATGTCTCCCTAACTGACGCTCAGATTGTGCACAAAAATGGACAATTTGCGAAGAGGACATACGATTATTATAACCTTACATCTCGTTTTCATAGTTGTCAACAATTCGTGACTATAAAAATGAACCGCAAAGCCGAATAATTTCTATCTCCTCTTCCTAAACTGCCAATTTTTCTGGACAGTCCGAGCGTCAATTAGAGAGACATTAATATAATTTCTATTCGATAAAAATGTTTATCTCGCACAAAGATCCGGGATCCGATCGCGAGCATATAAATCGGCGAATCCACCGCAATTTCCGCGGACGATGCCCCGTCGGACGCGTTGTAACCTCCCTTCCGATTTCAGAAAAATGCGAGGAATCCGTTTCGACGATCATCCAGCGATCGGTATCGGAGCGGTCGCGGGAGAAGTGTGCCCGGCTGCGAACGGACGGTCACACGGTGATCGAGTGCCCGCACCGTGCTGCGCGGAGGATACGGGAGTGCAGGCACACCGAGTCCAAGCTCCGGCAGCAGGCTCGGCTGGAGTATGTGCAGAGCACGCCGAACGTGGCGACGATCCACAACAACAAGTTCGCAAGCGCCAGCCCGCGGGTCGGAGGCGGTTCCGGGGGCGTCGACGGGAACGGGACCGGCGGCGGGATCGGTATCGGTATCGGCAGCGGGGTCGGCGGATCCGTGGCCACCAGCGCGGACGTTGTCGGCGGTTCTGCGGTGAACGTGTCGAAAATGTACAGCGCCGTGTCGGACGGCGAGCTGCTGGACCTAACGATCCTGCCAATCTTTCAGAAGCTGCTCACCGAAAGACACAAAAGCTCGAGGGGCGGCTACGGGGCCAGCGTGGCCAGCTGTCCGAATATATCCATCAAATGCGATATCGTCGAGTACCTCTAACGATCTTCCAGCATAACTAGTTTGAAATTCACGCGCGGATTCATCGTCCCGCGGACCGTAGCGATCCGATCCCGAAGGAACAGACGGAGAGAGGAGTTTCGGCGTCGTGGCACTCCGATCCGGAGTTGGACGGATTTTACTCGAGTAACCGATCGCGTTTCATTCGACGAAGCTGTTCGAAATGTATTACTGTGCCGGATCGAATTTCATTCGAAGAATTCGTTCGATGTGTTGTTCGAATTGAAATCTGATTCGAGCGATTTATTCGATACGTTGTTCGCGTAAGAAGAATTTATTCGAAAGGTTTCTCGAATAAAATTTTATTCGAAATATCGTCCGCGTCGAATTTTATTCGAATAAGGCCCAACTCCGATCTGTTCCCGTGGCGATCGGTTTCTAATTATCTACGGTGGCTGCTCGACGAGCTCGGACCACGCCCACAAGAGCTCGGGCCACACCCACGGGAGCGCGGGACGCGCCCACAAGAGCTCGAACCACGCCCACGGGAGCGCGGGGGCGTTCCCGGCAGGGCTCTGCCACTCTTACACGCGGTTTTCGGGAAAGTGTTTCAACTAGCGTCGAGGTTAATATCATTTCTATCGAATTAAAATCCAGCATGGCCGTGAAACCATATATATAATATAACTACATATAATTATATACGTATATGTAGCTGTACGTTAAATAATTCTGAACGTTATTGCATTGAAACAAGCAATTTTTCAACCTCGGAAATGCGATTAAATAGAAAAAAAGATATTCTGATGAGTTTAATTCTTTATTTTTGTAACTAATGGGTTACTTCACATGCAAACTCAATAAATAAATAAATAAATGTGACTATGCAACGGCTACGCTGGGGCTCGAATACTATTGAAGACATTATTTTCTTTTCATAAATAATGCTTTATTTTGTCAACTTATTATATGGTTATATATATATATATATATATATATATATATATATTATCAGTGCACTTTGACACTTTTGTAGCATCAATCTGAAATTTCCCAATGGAAATCGCGTTTCAGTTCGGAAAAAACCGACGTCGGTTGAAACACAGTGTCGCGTGCAAGAGTGCCAGAGCCGAGGTTCCCGGCGCGCGGTCTCTTATCGGGCTCCTGCTTATCGATCGGCCGTCGTATCGTCGTTCGAGGACCGCGAAGCGGTTCGTTTCCAATTATCCCGCGATCCGAGACGCCTCGATCACGATCAGCGCCGAACACAGACGGGGCGCGCGCATAGGATCCCGGCGTTTCTGTGCGCACAAAAGAGGCAACGGGACGCGACGGTAAAACGCGTCGGGCCGCGACGATCGTCGCGCGAGCCCGCCGCACGTGTATCCACGAGCTCGCTAATCGCGGCGTGCTCCTGCTAGATCTCTCGAATAAAACCGTTTTTTATATATCACCGACCTTTTAAACTAACGCGTACTCGACGGAGAAGAGCCGCGGGAGAAGCCTGAACGAGGATGCCGGCCTTCGCACGCGCCAAATCAAGGAAGGGCAGCGCGCGCGTTGCGTTTTTCGCGTCGGTCGACCGTCGACAGCCGGTTTCGGATTCGTTTTTCGCTGCTCCGGGGTCGATCCAGTACGCGCGCCGCCGGTTTCTCGCGACGATCGCACGCTGTTAAGTGAAACGCGATCGCAACGTCCAGATCGGCCGGCGCGATTCTCTTTTCGACGCGTTCGAAAATTCATCGTCGAACGGCTGCGGATCGTATCGGCGCCGTCGATCGCTCTTTTAGGAGACCGGCGCGGGTAAATCGGCGCGCGGGTAACTCGCCAACGCATTGTACAATCGAGATTTCTTTCGTCGCGCGCGCGCGCGGACCGCTCGATCCAGCGGCGAGCGGAGCGCGGACGCGCGGTTCGCATTGAAACTTTTCGACGGTCTGTCAGCCGTCGAGCTCCGTCTCTCCCGTTCTCCTTCTTTTCTACGAAGACCGCGTCGCGTTTACGAACCGGCGTGACGAAACCACGTTTTTATACGAACGAACAACGGGCGAATAACGCGTTCGCGCTCGCGTCGAGCCGCGTCGTTCCTGAGAAAGATCGGGCCGGGTTCGCATTATCGGTGTGACATAACGAGTCCGTCGCAATCGTCGTCGCCGTCGTCTCTCGGGCAACTTTTCGTAACGGTTATCGCCGGTCAACGATCAACGACGGAACGAAGGACAGGAGCGAAAGACGAAACGCCGACGAACACGTCTTGTTCTCTCGTTGAAACAGCGCAACGCGTCGACGCTACGTCGCGCGGCGGAACGAAGCGTCTGTTTTCGTGGACGTCGTCGATCGACTGTCGAAATTTTATATCGTGGCTTCGATCGAAGCCTCGTCGCGTTCAGCGCCGATAAACGACAGCTAAGATACTCATAAAAAAGTCGACGCGATTTAATTAATGAAATTAATGAAACCGAAACTAGGAAATCAAAATTTAGTGGATGACATTGGCAACTCTTTCGCGTTCGAAACACTCGAGATCAAATTCAGTTTGCTCGAATATATTAGAATGAAAATGAACGTTCAAGATTGGTCGAAAATTATATTTCATATAATTGTATATAATTATATTTGCTCAACGTATTAATGAGCGGTTGTAGAAAACTTCGCGGCCGATAGCTGCGACTGATAAAATAAATCTAATGCACATATATTATATGTATATATATACATATATATACGTTATGCACATACGTTAGACTTACTTTGTTAATCGCAGCTGTCAGCAGTTAATTTTTGTACCAAGAACCTTGCCGATGAAGCAGCGATAAATTTTGAACCTTGGGCGATTCCTGGTAGAACTTGAAATCATCGATTGAATTATGACTGCAATTTAGTGCAATGGAATTTCATTTTATACAATTGTCGAACGATGGAATTTCATCGATGTCAGAATGTTTTTCTGTGGAAAACCATTATCGATAAGATAGTCAATAATCTGGGAAACATTGAGAACGTATGAACTGATAGGATTTAGGCAATAATTATTTAAATTGGAGCAACTGGAAGAAGACAAATGGCTACAGATTTATTAGAAAAAATTCTTGCGTTCCGAACGGATTTAATTTCCAGTTGCACAGAATATGCACGGAATGAGAATTCATTCATTCGAGTGATATAATATACATAGTAATTAGAATGACATCGTTCGTAACTTAGGCAAAAAGAATACAATAACGAGTCCCAGTCGTCAAATGTGCCCAAGGGGTTGAAGATTGAACGAAGCTATAGGGTAAATTCTCGCTAATCGACGACCAGATTGTGCAGAAAAGTGGACAATTTTGGATTTATTAATTACTTATTAATTATTTACGTTACATTATCTTGGACAATTTATTAATTTCGAAGGAGAGGATATTAGGGGATTCGAGCCTCGCGGCTCGCTTCTACCGATCCTCGACAACCATAAAAATAACAATAAATAAATAATCGTTTCTGCTCTTCCGAAATTGTCTATTTACGTGTCCAATGGGTACGTCAATTAGAGAAACTTTCGCGGTAACAGAAAATCTCGACGATCGATTCTTGCCGCCGGCGTCCACGAAAATCGGCGTTTCGTTCCACCGCGCGCCGGGATCTTCGTTTGCCGTTCAGTCGGAACGGACACATCGCACGATTCTAAAGGCGCTAATGCCGTCGCATTCGCGGCACGCGAACACAAACCGACGGCCGCCATCTGTCAAGGTAGTCAATTCCCTCCTGCGGAACCGCGGACGGTTTCCGCCGCGAGACAAAAGAAAGAAAAACCGTGGCCGGCGCCCCCTTGTTGACGAGATCTATATTTTAGTCGAGAGAGTTTACGAGCAAATTCTGGATGTGACGTGCATGCCTATAGTAAAACGAGAACAGAAGTCGATTAAACGAAGAAAGAACACGTTGCGAACGTTCGAATTTTCGGTTCAGATTTGATCGCGCCGTTTACGATTCGTTCGTTCGTTCGTTTGTTTGGTTCCTTTGTTTTCCGTTTCGGGGCCTGTCAGGGACAAACATGGCGGAGCCTACGGCGATTTCGGGGCCATAAGCGACGTCCCGGATGTTCCCCACGAGGAGGAGAACGTCACCTATCCGTGAGCCTAAACGCTCGGTCGCGCGCAGGTACACTCGCCGCGTGGTCACGCGAGTCTTGTACATACGATTAATCTCGAAATAAATGTCATGTTCACAGGTAAAATTTAGACACTTGTTACGTAAAACGATCGTGCCCGTTTTTCCCGTTTTCTTCTTTTGTTCTCTCTCTCTCACTCTTTCTCTCTCTCTCTGTCGCTCTCTTTTCGCTCGTCCTTCGGCAGTTAAGGTATCCGTTGTTCGCCGGCACCTGAGAACCGCGTGCGTGTGTTTTTCTTGTTTCTATTTGTACTTCGTCTCTCACTTCGTTTCTCACCTTCGTTTCTATCCTTTGCGAGCGTCGTTTAAAACAACGCGCGACGCGCTTTTGCGAACAGCTCGCGATCGTTTTTTCAGCGAGGATACACGTGACCCACGACGGCAACACCGAATTATCATTTTTCTCGTGTTTAAGTAAGAGTTGATGCTGAACAGGTCAATTATATTCAAAGATTTTTGTCAATAAAGTTGATTCGCTCGTTTCACCGGCTTCGACTCCTTCAAACGGAAGAAGCGTTTTCTCGGTTTCTTTCTGTCACGACTCACGGACACGTGACACACGCGTACTTCACCCCCTCCCTGAACCCCCCACGCATGCAAAAGACGACGAAACGATTCTCCAAGATCCAAATACACGCAAAACCGTCTACGATCTACGTATGTGTATGTACCTTTGTCTCTCTCCACCCTCGCCCCCTCACCACGCCCACGCTGTCGTCAGTCCTATCGTCTCTCTTTCTCTCTCTCTCTCGGGAATGAGATTCCCGATGACACGACGGAACAGTCGTTCTTCTTATTCAAGGATCATCGGCAAGAAAAAAAATAGAAAGAAAGAAAAAAGAAACGTCATTCGGTAATTCATGAGACGCATTCGAAAGCAGTACAAAATGGAACGCGCGTTTCCTCGAGCGATTTATAGTAAAGATCGATCGTGTTTCGATTGTACGATTCAACGTTTGTTGTCTACGTTTAGCATATAGTACAACGCAATCTTCTGTTAATGTAAAGTGAATAGAGTTTAATAAACGAACGATTTGATACGAAAACCCGATATCGCAAATTGCAAACGCGTTCTGATTACGCTCTCACCCCGTTGGCTCTGTGCACCCCGCGGCAACGGCGCAATGGTCGCCGGGAAAGCGGCCATCCGCGGGGGAGAATATCCGATCTTTGGACGTCTATGCGTTCAGAGAAATGGCGTCCTGACGGAGTTTCCGTATTTAAGTACACATGTTAATCCTTTTATGATGGTTTACGACAGAAATGCGAGGGTCACTTTCGAAGTGCTGTAACTGTGCGAAAAAAAATCGCAGTCGCTTTTCTTTTTTTTCTGGTTGAAGGGGAAGGATCGAACTTCATTCTCCTGCAAACGGCATCTCCGTAACAAATTTTACGAAGTCCCTGCATTTCGTCGAACTTGGCGATTTTCAAAATATGACAGTATTTTTTTTTTACTGTGACGAACATTGCTTTATATTTAAATGGATACATCGGTGAGGGTGCGTCGAACTTAGATCGCAGAAAGATTGTTTTAAAGCAGAGGTTTCGAGCTTCGATTTAAAGGAAACGTCGCCGTCCTACGATGACTTTTCGCGGAGTTATCACCGGTCTAAGTTGAGTCATTTTTATTCAGAATTTGTGCAGGGTATTTGTACGGGGTGTGGCGTTCAGATGAAAACAGTGAAATATCTGACAAGGTATTTAAGTTATTAAAAAACTTGTCTTGCAAAAGATGTTTGATTCGAAGGGGTAGATTATGCTTTTATTATAGCTTTTGCGTGGGTGTAACGGTGACAGAGTCAAGTTAATGTTTCTAATGGAACAACATATCTTTTTATATATAATTTGATG